AGGGGCGCCTGGGTGGCTCAGTCGGTTAAGTATCTGACTTCGGCTCAGGTCACGATCTCACGGTTCATGAGTTCGAGCCCCACGTCAGGCTCTGTGTTAACCGCTCAGAGCCTGGAGCCTGCTTCAAATTCTGTGTCTCCCTCTCTCTCTGCCCCTCCCCTGCTAGTGCTCTGTCTCTGTCTCTGTCTCTGTCTTCTCTCAAAAATAAATAAACATTAAAAAAAAAAAAGAAAAGAATGCTGCAACATGAAAAGCTTATTTTTTTTAAATTTATTTTTTAAATATTTAATTTATTTTTTAAGGCTCCACACCCACTGTGGGACATCACGACTCCAAGATCAAGAGTCACATGTTCTACTAAGCCAGCCAGGTGCCCCAGAAAAGCTTGTATATATGTTATTTTGTAACTGTTTGAGTAGATCTAGGTTCCCATAAATAAAATTACAGGGTCAAATGGTTACACGCATTACATAATACCAAATTGTCCTCCAAAAGAAGTTATAAAAATTTATACCTACACTAGGCATATATGAGTGCCTCATTCACCATATTTTTGCCAACATAGTATTTTTTTTAATGTTTATTTTTGAGAGAGAGGGTGTGTGGGGAAGGGGCAGAGAGAGAAGGAGACACAGGGTCTGAAGCAGGCCCTGCACTGACTGCAGAGAGCCCGATGTGAGGCTCAAACCCGCAAACCGCGAGATCATGATCTGAGCCTAAGTTGGACGCTCAACTCACTGAGCCACCCAGGCACCCTACAAAGCCTTTATTCTTAACTTTTAATTTTTGCCAATGTGCTAGGTGAAAATGGTTTCTTAATGTGCTTTAAATTTCTTTTTTTTTTTATTATGAGTGAATCTTTTCACATGTTAAGAGACATATTTCCTTTTCTATGAAATACCTGATGCTATTCTTTGCCCATTTTTTTTAAAGTTAGGCTGTTATTTTTCTTAATGACTTGTAGAAGCATTTTATATATTGGAGAAAATTAGCCTTAGTCTTATGTTATGAAATACAAATTTTTTACCAGATTGACATTTGTCTTTGCCTATTCTAGTCTTTGCTATGGGGAAATGGCTTTAATGTAGTTGAATTTAATCTGTTCTTTCTTTTATGGATTCTGGGTTTTATATCACAGTTTCTAAGACCTTCCCCAGTGAAAGGTTATAAAATAATTCTACCATGGTTTTGCCAAGTACTTTTATGATTTCATTTTTTACATTTATATCTCTTAGCCATTTGGATTTATTCTGGTGAGGTGTTTATATATGACTTTTAAGAGAATTAACAGCTCCATGATGTTGAATATTCTTGGTGTGATATTTTTATTATTTATACTGCTAATACTTATTTAGTTTTAGGCTTAATACCAAATACACTACACGTATTAATTCTGCAGTCCTCACAACAATCCTGTGAGGTAAATACTGCCATTATCCCCATCGTACAGATGGGGAAACTGAGGTAGATCCTACCTTTTGGAGAAGGCCCAACTCATTTCCTAAATCGTTTTCAATCTCCTCCTTCTCAGATATTTATTAATGAATAAATCAGAGGTAGCCCTCTCCTCTCAGAACATGCTGGCTGAAGTGGGATTAGGAGGGACGCACATAAGTAAACAGGCAATTTCAGGAAGCTAAGTGGTAGGATGAGCAAGTACAGAGCACTGAGGGTGCAGAAAATGGTTGCCCGGGGCGGGGGGCGGGCGGGGGGCCAGCAGTATAGCCTTCTCGGAAAAAGTAACATCTAGGCTGAGACCTGAGGGTGAGTTTCCTTTCCCAAGGGGAGGGAAGGGAGCTAATAATTTTTGAGGACCTAACACCTGGCTAAACAGTTAACTTTTCGTTTAATTTTCATGAGGACCTTGGGAAGTGACATTTTAATTATTGTGTAGAGTTGAAGAATATTAGTCTGCTGGGGCTTCTGTCACAAAAGAGACAGGGTGACTTACACAAAAGAAATTTATTTCTCACAGTTCTAGAGGCTGAGAAATCCAAGATCAAGGCAGATTTGGTTCTTGATGAGGGTGCTCTTCCTCGCATGTAGACAACTGCCTTCTAATTCTGTCCTGACATGGTGGAGAGGGAGGGAGCTGACTCTCCAGTGTTTCTTCTAATAAGGGCACTCATCCCATCATCCCATCATGAGGGATCCAACTCTAACCCCGACTACCTCCCGCAAGCCTCATCTCCAAGCACCTTTACATTGGAAGTTAGGGCTTTAACAGGTGAACTGGGTCAGGGTGTAGCGAGTGGAGGGAGAGACACAATTCAGACCATAGCAAAGAAAGAGTCTCACAGGATTAAATGACTTGCCCAAGTTCACACAGCTGATAAAAAGAAGACCAGAGATTCAAACCCAGGTTTGTCTGTCGTTCAAGTCTGTCCAGTCTACCACATGGTGGTGCCTCACATTGTGTTTATCTGACACTCACAAATGCTGATTGAATTGATTTTCAAGGTGTTGTATCAGGGGCACCTGGGTGGCTCAGTTGGTTAAGCATCTGACTTTGGCTCAGGTCATGATCTCACTGGTCCCGAGTTTGAGTCCCGTGTTGGGTCTGTGCTGACAGCTCAGAGCCTAGAGCTTGTTTCAGATTCTGTGTGTGTGTTCCCCCCCCTCCAATAAATAAACATTTAAAAAAAGGTATTGTATCTGCTGACCTTCAGACCTATATAATCTAAAATCCCACTGACTTAAAAATTTGTTGTGAAAGGTGGATGAGAAGGGTCTATAGATGCAAAACCAGCAGTGTTTATGGCTGTGCCATGTTCCATACCTCACAAACTTATACAGTGTCCATTTTACTGCTAGATTGGCAATATCTAAAAATAAGCAAATGGTCATTTCTGCCCTGTGAGCGAGAGAGCAGAGAACCAGGGCCATGACTGTGTCAGTATGAGGTCTGCTAGCTGCTTTCCAAAAGATTTTTTTATCTCTTTAAATTATTTTAAGGTTACCAGGTAGTGGTATAGATGAGTTTTTTAGGCAGCCAAATACACCAGCTCTGTTCCTTTTCAGTCCGTTGTGTTGCATTTTATAGATATGGTCTGAATTGTAATAGGGGTAGGGATCTTGTACACACACATACACACAAAACTTCCTTCTTTATGATAGGAGGAATAAAAGAAATCTGAAGCCGTGTGTGTGTGTGTGTGTGTGTGTGTGTGTGTGTGTGTTTTATAGGAAGGTTTTGCTATTGAAGAAACTAAATAAGAGGGCTTTGTAAATAGAATCTTACAAAAAAACCAACCTTATTTTAATATCCCCAAGCATGCCTAGAACATAGTAGGTAGTCAATAAATAATTGAACTGAGATCACAGGTGAATTTCACATTTTATGTTTCATGTTTGTTACCTGAGTTCCATTGGTTTTCACAGTGATGATACAGGCATTCAAGAAACAGGGTTTTAAAGGAAAAGAGGCTGAAAATGTAGGCTACACTGACATAGAACTCTGTCATTTAAAATCTTTTTTTAATCTTTATTGTTGAGAGAGAGAGAGAGAGACAGAGTGCAAGTGGGGGAAGAGCCGAGAGACAGGAAGACACAGAATCTGAAGCAGGCTCCAGGCTCTGAGCTGTCAGCACAGAGCCTGACATGGGGCTCGAACCCATGACCCAAACTGAAGTCGGATGCTTAAACAACAGAGCCACCCAGGCGCCCCAGAACTCTGTCATTTAAAAATCAGTGATATATTTGGGGCACCTGGCTGGCCCAGTGGGTGGAGCGTGTGACTCTTGATCTTGGGATTGTGAGTTCAAGCCCCATGTTTGATGTAGAGATTACTTAAAAATAAAAACGTTAGGGGCGCCTGGGTGGCGCAGTCGGTTAAGCGTCCGACTTCAGCCAGGTCACGATCTCGCGCTCCGTGAGTTCGAGCCCCGCATCAGGCTCTGGGCCGATGGCTCGGAGCCTGGAGCCTGTTTCCGATTCTGTGTCTCCCTCTCTCTCTGCCCCTCCCCCGTTCATGCTCTGTCTCTCTCTGTCCCAAAAATAAATAAAAACGTTGAAAAAAAATTTAAAAAAAAAAAAAATAAAAAAAATAAAAACGTTAGGGGCTCCTGGATGGCTCAGTCTGTTGGGCATCTGACTCTTGATTTCGGCTCAGGTCATGCATGATCTCAAGGTAAGTGGGGTGGGGACACATGGTGGGCTCTGTGCTGACAGTGCAGAGCCTGCTTGGGACACTCCCTCCCTCTCTCTCTGCCCCTCCTCCACTCATGTGTGCACACACTCTCTCTCAAAATGAATAAACATTTTAAGAAATCTTCAATAATAAATACATGCATACAATAAAAATCAGTGATATGTTCTTCAACATCAGACTTTACTAACCACATGGATTTTAGGTAACTACAAAGCTTTATGAAGATCCTGGATGTCGTCTCTAGTCGTGTGACTGGTGCCTAGCACAGAATCTGACATAGTAATACTCACTAAATGAACGAACTAAATGAATGAAAAATAGTCTCCTGTACTCTTCTATTTTGGTGATTTAGACAGTATACTTCAAGCAATGAAATGAATAGTTTCAGTTGTATTATCTTTATTTAGTAAATAAGTTACATTGGCTTTCATATTGATAAACATAGTTTATTATATTAGAGAGTATTGTCTATTTCTTGTAAAGTTCCCAAGACTCCCAAATCTTAAGGAATCGTCACTTTCTTAACTTTTCTGTCTTATAGTTGGATATTTTATTTATAGTTGCATGATCACAACCAATCAAAGAATGGCTAGTATTTGTCAGAACTCTTTAGACCAATTTGGAAAACAGATCTGTGTCATGTCATGTGTCCAGTGAGATTACTTTTCCCTTGGCCAAATTTATATTTTGCTTTAGACCTATTCCCCATTCCCACCTTATCACCCCCAAACCACAGCACTGTTCGTTTCCTATTTGAATGAACAATTTGATGGATTTAAAAATCTTTTGTTTCAAGGTTCCATCATCCAAACATACTGGAGTTGACTGCGTATTTTACAGAGAGTGAGAAGTTCTGCCTTGTTTATCCATATATGAGAAATGGATCACTTTTTGACAGATTGCAGTGTGTAGTAAGTCAGACCTATTGCTCTCCCCAACTCTCTGACCCCCTGAAACCCTGAGGGAGCTGCTGAAGTCTCCTGAGATCCAGGAGCCAACATGTGTTCACAGGAGGGGATAGCCAACAATGGGTTTCCCAAGGAAGTAGAGGACTTTTCCATGAATTAATATTTTACTCTTAAAAACAACTGCATAAATACCTGAGTTATTGTGTGTTGTGCAACATGGTGGCCAAAAGATTTGCTGGATCCTTACTTCTTATTGATTCCATATCTTCAATGAGTTTACATTAACTACTCTTGTTTCTTACATAATTTTTATTTGCATAACTTTACACAAAATACCATTCAATACATAGGGTAGGCATAAAGGCAATGCAGACTCCTTAAAGAGAAGAAGGTTGAAGTAATGCCTTGATTCCCCGTGTTTGTGAAAGATAAGTTTAACAAGTCATTCTGAACAGGTGACGTTTCAGTTAGGGTCAGAATAAAAACAGATTGTTTCCCGTCACCCACGCCACAAATACCTCTAAATTTTCCTTAATGAACTTACAAACATAGTTACCTTCCTAACCGTATTTTGACTAAGCTAAGGTTCAAATTATTGGGTATTTCCATTACCAATGGAAAGCTGTAAAGAGGACTAGAATCACTGGTAGAGGAAAACCCATCTTGAATCACAAATAGGTTATGGGAAACCAAAAGGTTCATTCACCCACCTTACCCCGCCTCACCATCTGCCTCTCTTCTGGCATACTTCTGTGTAATGCGCACCCGTGTGTTTTGCTCCCAGACCAACTACCGTTGTCTTTTCAGGGTAACACAGCCCCACTGTCTTGGCACATTCGGATCAGTGTTTTAATAGGAACCTCCAGAGCCATTCAGTATTTGCACAACACGGAGCCGTGCTCGGTCATCTGTGGCAGTGTATCAAGGTAAGTTGTCTCAGAGCTTGGCTTGCACCTGACAGCCCCTTTCAGCATCACAGGGGAGTCATGCCTCACACTCTTTTCTGCCTGCAATTTCCCTGATATGTACGTGTGTTTAAGGATTAAGAGTGCTCACCTGGGGCGCCTGGGTGGCTCAGTCCGTTAAGCGTCCGACTTCGGCTCAGGTCCTGATCTCGCGGTTTGTGGGTATGAGCCCCGCGTGGGGCTCTGTGCTGACAGCTCGGAGCCTGGAGCCTGCTTCCGACTCTGTGTCTCCTTCTCTCTGCCCCTGCCCCACTTTTTTGTCTCTATCAAAAATAAATAAGTGTAAAAAAAAAAAAATTAAAAAAAGTGCTCATCTAAGTATTTAAAAATCTTACTTTTTAAAATATAATTTTATTATTTTTATTTTGAGAGAGAGAGAGAGAGCAAGGGAAGGGCAGAGAGAGAAGGAGAGAGAGAGAAATTCCCAAGCAGGCTCTGCAATGCTAGCGCAGAGCCCGAGGCAGGGCTTGAACTCACGAACTATGAAATCATGACCTGAGCCAAAATCGAGAGTCAGACACTTAACCAACTGAGCCACCCGGTGCCCCCCAAATCTTACTTTTTTAGTGCAGTATAACTGACATACAATATCCAATTCGTTTCAGGTGTACCTTCTAGTGATTTTATTTATTTATTTTTTATTAATGAGAATGTGTCTACCCAAGTTAAGAAGCTACGTTTATATTGCCAAAGGGAGAGTTTATATTATCTTTGGGAAGTACTAACGAACAACGTAGGGTAGACAGTTTTGCGTAGTTGACACTAAACTTTGAGGCGAACCTGTATTAATCTCACTTTTTTCTCCTTGAGTGAAGTTTAAGGAAAGGTTAAGTGACCTGTACGGAGATTCCCAGCAAGATAACCGCAGTAGACAGTAGACGGTGATTAAAATTCTTTGTCCCCGAGTCCCCAGTGTCTTGCTGGTTCTAGCAAGCAGCCTGCAGCCTCCTAGCTTTACATCAGTGACAAGCCAAGCAGTAACTCGGTGTGCATTTTTGAGACAGGAGGAAATGACAGGCAGCATCTTCCGTCTTTCTTTTTCTTCAGTAGACCTAAAGAATCTTTCAGAAAGTAGGTACGCTGTAACAAAATCCCCCTGGTGAATTTTTCCTGTGTGCCCTTCATCTTGAATCTGTTCAACAGTGGGTAAATACACCTTTGTTGAGTAGCAGGGATGACTGAATTTAAAAGGCTGCTGCCTTTTCGGAACCATCTCCTGGTATCTTGAAAAAGCTTCTGATGTGCTTTCGAGCTGAGCAGAAAGAGGAGCCGATTGCTTGCTGCCTTCCTTGTTTTTCTGGTGAAATGAACTCCATATAAAAAGACTAGATTTTTACTTAGCCCTGGGGCTCATAGGGGAACCACCCATAGATGTCTGCTCCTGTGGCAGTGTGGTAATGGTAATTCATCAACTCTAGTGGCCCCAGAGAACCAGCACGAAGTGGGTGCTCCCTCACGGGGCCTGGGACAAAGATATACACAGCGAAGGTGTCAGGAGTCTGTTTCGAAGAGCTGAAGTGGCCACCCCCAACCCGAATGAATCCTTCTTCCCCCTACCTTACCACCAGCTCGGCACAGTAGGTGCTCAAAGATATTTTATCTGAGGAAATAAATATCTGGAATTTTGCTGTATATATTCTTCCCTTGGTGTAAAGTCAACGCGAGTATCGCTTGTTTTCTGTCCCAAGCAGTAGTAATACATCAATGTTATTAATTTCCCTTTTGTGTGACTGAGTTCGTCAAATCCTTTCCTGGAAGCGGAACTCGATAGGAGAGAGCAGTGAGAAGCGACAGACTCTCAAGGTTCTGATACTTGATGGGCCTGGGGGACAAGGGAAGACCACCAACTGGGAGCATGGTGGGGGGGATGGGTGGGAGTGGTGGAGGGATACAGATCCAGCCTCTGCCTTGTGTCCAAGGTTTTCCTCAGCTTTGGATGTGCCCTGCCAGCATGTCTCCAGGGATCTGATTAGATAGAGCTCAGGTTGTGGCCCTGATAACCTGCTTTCTCGTTCTGGATAGGTGTCTTCAAGGCAGGGTCCTAGGAAATAGGCTCAGGGGAGGGATTTGCTTGCAGCAGGTTTTTTAGAGTGCTGTCAGGAACAACAGAAGTAAGGGAGGGAAGGAGGAAGGCAGAATCGGGCAATTGGAGAAGTCGAGCTGGGATATTGTAGTAGAGGCCCTTCCGATGCCACGGGGAGCACTGGTGTTGGGGTGGCCCTTTGAAAATATCCTGATGGCAAGGCAGCCCCCTCCCACCAACGGCATCAACAGCTGTGGGCTATCCACAGCCACCCCTCCCCTGGCTGGGGAACCACCATTGTGTCCCTGGGTCCTGTAGGAGGGATCTGGACCACACCACGGTGGCCACCACAGTTCCGGAGGGGGATCTGACTGGCTAACGCTCTGCAAAATGTGACCAAATGATTTTTCTTCTTCATACTTTCCTCTCCACCTTCTTCCCATCCTTTCCTCTCAGCTCACTTCCCCTAATGTGTCAGGCATCTGATTTAAGAAGCCGGCGATGTTCTTCTTAACATGGGATTCTGAGCAAATTGCTTAGTTTCTGTAAGCCTCAGTTTTTCCCTCTGCAAAATGCTAACAAAAGAATAATAGCATCTATCTCTTAGGATTAAATGACATAAAATATATATGGTGCTTGGCAGAGAGTATGTTATAATTGGTGAAAACGTGGCAGGAATAGCAGGGGCAGAGGCTAAGAGAGGATGATGGCCAGCCAGTCTTTGAACTTACTTACTGTCTTAGTCCATTCAGGATAAATAACCATAACCAAAAGACTAGAAAGTGGGTGGCTTATAAACAACACATTTATTTCTCATGGTTCTGAAGGCTGGAAGTCCAAGACCATGGCACCAGCTGATTCTGTGTCTAGTGAGGGCCCACTTTCCGACTCATTGATGCCCATCTTTTTCTCTGTGTCCTCACAGGGTAGAAGGGGATCTCTCTGGGGCTTCTTTTACAGGGGTACTAATCCCAGTCACGAGGGCTCTGCCCTCTTGACCTAATCACCTCCCAAATGTCTCACCTCCACATACCATCTCATTGGGGGGGTAGGATTTCAGTATGTGAATTTGGAGGGGGACCCAAACATTGTGTCCACAGCACTTACTTCTATCATCAATTTATTGTGTTCGAAAAGTAGACCTCCAAACTAAGCTCTGTTTTAAGACTGATCACTTCTGTGTTAACATATGGTTATTGCACATTTGGCAAATCATGTTTATTTGAGTTAATAAATATTTACGGAACACCTGTTGTATGCGGAGCATTGTATTAGACCACGTGGGGTAGATGTGGGTGATCATAGTCTTGTCCTTGAAGGTTCAACCTGCTGATCAGAGGGATAACACAAACCCAGAAGATATATGGTGCAACACTAAAGATGTTCAGTGGTTGCCTGCTCTGAGGAGGCTCGCTCTAATTACAGAGTTCCAAGCCCAGTCTTTGAGGAGATGGGTCATGGCAGTGGATTGGTTGAAAGAAGGGGGGAGAATAGTCCTAGTGGAGGCAATAATTTGTTCAATGGAAAGAGTCAAGTAAACAGTTACCGAGTGTATAATGAAAGCAAGACAAATGGGTTAGCTGGAGAGGAAGAAACAAGACTGGAGAAGAAGGAAAGGGCTCCTGGGAAGAGTGAGGAACGTGGGTGGGCAGGGGTGCAATGGGCTTGCATGCCAACCAGCCTGAGGACCTGGGTAGGATAAATGAGGCTCTTACGAGGGACTCTGAGGCTTTTCTGGGGCCATAGGTGGGAATAGAAAGGTTCTGGAGTCTGTTAGGAGGTCTCACACTCGGAAGGAGGCCATTTCTTCCAGGCCAGTATCTTGGGTACTTGTCTGGATGGGGCCAACTATAAAATCATTTCAGCAACACTGCGAGACAGAGTGCCCAACAGTATTAAAGAGCACCAAGAGAGATCTGGTCAGAGATGGAGAATTTCACGGAAGAGGCAGGATTTAAACTGGAAATGTGCTAACAATGTATTAATTTTTTTAGTTGGTGACGGGGCTGCTGCTGATTGTTGCCTTTTTGGCTTTTCCAAAGGGTTCGAGGACTCAAACATAACCATCTGTAGACTATGCTTGCCCGGGCACGAGTCAGGGTGTAGAGTTCCACGGCTGTGGGCATTTCTTTGAGATTGTGGTTTCCTAGGGCTCATCAGTGTGTCCCTGTCTGTTCCAGAGCAAATCAGCCCTTCTACAGCCAGTGAACTCTTGGCCTTTTTGCTGAGCCTGCCAGCAAAGATGTTAATTAGTACCAGCTATAACAGTAGATTCCTCCCCTTTCCTTTGGTGGTGTGTGCACCTGTTCTCTAGAAACTGGAATGAAACCAACTCATTTCATTCAGGGCACTGAACATCTGATGGTAATGACATTCAGCCTCCAGCAGGCTTGACCAAATGTGAATTGGCTGACCCAGGTCACCCTCCCGAATCTTTTAAATGAATTCTTCACTTTGCTCTAAACTTGGGCCTCCCTGATTCTTGGTTCCTGTTTGCACAGCCTACTGCTTTCAGGAAGGTCCGAGATTCCTGTCCTTCTGCCTGCGTCATATTAATTTTCTCCTTCTCTGTAAGGCAGCTTTTAGGGGAGGTGTCATTTTATTTCATGGCCCTGATAATTGGCTCAAAAAAGGACATTTCAAAATATGTCCAATAGCGACCTTTTCTGTGACTAAGTCAGGGCTCTGTTTTTGATGGAATAAGAAATGGAAGATATTGTTACCTTTATTTTCTTTTCTGGACCTCAGACTGATGAATCACAGGAGAGTTTGTCATACATCATTTGACACAATTAAATAATGTTTTTAATAGTATGAAATAACATGGAACAATGTATATAAAGTGAGATTAAAGGGAAAAGGCCAAATTGGGGGCACCTGGGTGGCTCAGTCAGTTAGGGTCCGACTGGCTCAGGTCATGATCTCATGGCTTATGGGT